ATTTATAAAATTTTGCATATGCACTTTCGATTCGATAGGTATTAAATTAAATAAATTTCTGAAATAAGAAAATTTATTTTAGGTGTCAATAAAAATAATAAATAATTTAGTCAAAGCGATTATACATATGTATGTATTTTTTATTTTATACTATCGAAAAATTCCAAGTGTTTAGGCGACTACCAACACATAGCGCTTAAATGCATGCTACATCCTCGATGAAACCACAAAAAAGGGCAGCACAGGTATATGCACAGCTTCATGCCTTAAATTTTCCTTTATGGAATTTATAAAATTTTGCATATGCACTTCTCTAGTGTCATATTGCAAGAATTATTAAAGTAATAAGTTGATGGCACCTCAAAGCATGCTCAGCCTGGTTAGTTGGTTGGTTGTAGTTAGAGATGGGCACGGGACTAAATATTTAGCTCCGATCGCGCCCATCCCGAAATTAAATTTGTAAGTCCCGAACCCGCCCATCCCGTCGTTTTTCAGAATTGTACCGCGGGTCCCATGGGTCCCGAAATCTTATCACTTAGAAAAATTCACATGTCTTTCAAATGTATTTTAAATAACAAAAAAAAAAATTACAAAATAATAATAATGAGGTATCTGGGATCTTCCAATTATTTTGTTCCCTTTCGTCCCAATAAAATATAAAAAATATCCCGCGCCCATCTCTAGTTGTAGTGCTTCATAGTAACTCACTACGATACAAATAGCGCGTTTTGCGCCATTTTGGTGCACTTTCGTGGGAATGCTAAATACCTATGTATGTATATCTAGATTTCTCGGTCAAATCATCTTGATTCCCTGATGGATTTGCCGATATCACCCTTAGTAGAAATTGATATATCTGCTAGTTTTGTTCGCTTGTGTCTTCCAAGTGCTTTATGCTTAATATTTAGCCGCTAGGACTGGACGTTTACAAAGCATATGCTGATCACTTCTTTCGCTACCTTCTAGGTGACAGCTGCGGAAAGTTCTATTACATGGGAACCCTTTTCCCTCTGCATGTTTGTCTATTCGCCAGTGTCCTCTAATGGTTCCTGCAATTCTAAATACTACTTCTGTCCGTGATCTATTAAGCAGGTCAAGTGTCTTCGTCGCGTTACAGACAGGCCAGAGTTCCGTGGCTAATTTGTCATTATGTCCGACAATCTTTTTCTATCCAGTGCAAAAAAATGCAAACTAATTTCTCTTTGAACGACTCCGAAAGAGCATCTCAGTGCAACAGCTTCAGATTCCTCCAGTTAGGCTCCTGCCTTCGCCAATTCATCAGCCATCTCATTGCCTTCAATGTTTATATGGCCGCAAACCCAGAGAAGTGCGATGCTTACTGGAGCAGATACTGAGCAAAATTCTGGTTGCTACTTCTAAACTAGCTGTGATTTACTGATCACACGGCCGAGTGCTGACAAAGCCGATGGCCTGATTTCTTTATTCTACTGATGTATTTTCCTAGAACCTCGCAAGCTACAAGGATGCCTAAGACTTCCGCTTGGAAGATGCTTGCATCATTCCCTAGACGGAGAGACAAGGAGACGCCGAGTTTCTCGGAGTACACATCTGCTCCCACACATCTTTCATCTTTGTCGGTCACTCTGCCTCTCCTCCACACTCTTCTGGATGGAAGTCTTTGTGTGTTTTTCAAGATGAGGTTATATACCATATAGTCGGTGTTTTGTCGTGATCGTATTTCGTTGTTGACCATCCCATGCCGGAATTGTCCACTTTTCAATAGTCCTGACTCCCTGAGTCTGTTTGCAGATTTCATGGCCTTTTTTATGTGGAGATCAAGAGGAGTTAAGTGTAAAATCGTGTTTAACGCTTCTGTCAGGCAGGACTTTGGTACGCCCGTTATTTCAGTCTCCACTACCTAGTTTGTTTACATTATACCGTCTGTTTATGCCCGGCCACCGGACCAATGCGGCATAGGTTCGGATAGGTCTTATGATGGCGGTATACATCCACATCACAAGTTTCGGTTTTAGTACCCAATTTTACTATTTAGACCCTTTATCTACGATATTCAATGTTGATTTTCCAGTTCAGTTTGTTGTCAAGCACGACTCCCAAATACTTTTTCGCTAGAACCTAGCTTAAACATCTTACCATCTAGCCTAGGCTGGTCTGGAGTTTTTTTGTGGACTCTGCATGACTCACAACTATGCAGAGGTGAGAAATGATGAATTCCGTTGGCCACAGTGCCTACCCAAAATTTTGTGATTAAATAAATATTTCTTCGTTTATACATGCAAATAACCTAGTCTTCCTTCCCACTGAGCTTCAATTTGCATTTCCATCGGAAACAAGCAGCGTTTTCTTAGATTTTGTGAATGTTCGAAATTTCGAGCATACCCCTTAAGTATGTAAGTTGGTATCGCAGCAAGCGCTGAAAGTAGTCGCAGAATGTTATTTGAGGGGTTTCTTATCATGTTCGAAAATTCGTACATCGTGTTCGAAAATTCGAACATGTCTTTAAAATGTTCTTTGATTACTGCATGGCTTCTTTATACTAAATAAATGGATTTTAACTTGATTCAGCATTGTTCGAAAGCATTTGAAATCTCTTATGTGCACGTGCTCTTCAGAAATAGAGAGGAGTAGAAAAACAAGTATTCGGATGTACAGAATTTCCCCTGAGCACGATTTCGACTTCGTAGCATAAGAGATACATAGTGGGGTAACCAAAATACTTTCACACAATTTCGAAATAGAAAAGTAGCTCAAAATGCGCTCATGGAAATTAGCGAGAGCGAGAGTCTTGTCGTAGAGAGAACGAGCTGCGCGTACTGAGAGCGGAATATATTTTCCCTGTAGCAGCACGTGTTGCACAAAAACGTGCTGAAGTTAAACGTAGATATTACAACCAAAATACTACGTTTACATACTTATATATTTGATAAGTATTTTACTCGTATTTCCTACGTAGGAAGGTAAGTAGCTGCCCAAACAATGAACAACCATAGCTGAGCCAATACTCGATAAGATTTGTGCTACATATTGGTGGTGGTGGTTGCGTTAGGTTGGCATGGTCATGGTAATGTTGGTACCACAGCTAGCCATTGGTATTGGTTAGGTAGGGTGGGTTTATTTGTGGACACGGAAGTATCACAGGGATAACACTATGTATACAACACAGCACGTGAGCTGAGCGTAACAGTCTCATGCTCGCGCACTTTAAATGAGAGCGGAGCGGCAGCGGTGTAAATTGAAGGTACTTATGAGTAGTTACTTGCCGTGTACAATTCGAAGGATGAGCATTGCAATTGGTAATGATGATGGTGTTGGTGGTGGTGGCGGTTGCATATTTGGTGATGAACGCACGCACACCCCTGGCGCTGGCTGTCGAAATGCTTGACTGTCTCACTGTCTGCTTGGTTTGTGGGTTTTATTGGCTTGGATTACTTGGGTTTCTGACAATATTTTTGTGGGTTACAGAGTGTTTGCCGCGCGCTACGCGCCACAGTCGTTCGTGACTAGCGCAGCGAGTCACTTCAATATCGGTGGTGCATTTCCACAATTTCGAGCGAGTTAAGGAAATGCTTTGGACGTAATTTTTCGAGTATAAATATGAGTGCCTTTGCTGCTGGCAATTCAGTACGACAAGCGACACGCTGCTGAGTGGACGCATCTAGCGCTTGAAGGCGAAGGAAAGAGAAAGTGTGTTTCAATTTTTTGTGTATTTTCAAGCGTAGAAAAATACGAAATTTTTTACGACAAATATTTTTTTGAGTGTTTGAACATTTTTTTTTCAAAAAATTATAAAAAAAACAACGACTGAACGAACAATGGCCATACCTTTCTACGAGCCACGTCAGCAGCATACTGCAACTGATTGCGATCAAGTTGATGGACATTTTCCGCCAGCGCCACCAAGTAGCCAGTCTATGGCAGTGCCGACGGCGAATCTAGGCATGCCTGTGACCATAACTCAACTGCCGGCCAACACAAGTACATTCTCGCCGACTGCCGTTTCGAATGCGGCAACAGCGACGGCTACTACAAGCGTATCCTTAACTGCGCCACATTTTCCCGCCGCAACTACAGCTCTACTCACGAGCACATCTGCAACAGCAGCCACGGTTGGAGCGGCGGCCACTACTTCTACCGCAACCACATCTTCGCATGTAGTCACATCTTTGCCAGCTGGTTCAGCACCTTCCGTCGCTACAGCCACATTTTCCATTTCATCGACCAGTCCAGCAATTCCCACTTCCTTGCCACACAATTCTACTTCGTCTCCGGCAGCCAACGAAACGTTTGCTTCTGCTTCTTCTTCCACACAACCTGCAGTCGTGGAGCCTCTGCCGTGGAAGCTGCTCGCTGTGGCCATGTGCAAAGCTTTGAAGCAATATTATCAACAAACTGGTTCCCGTGACGTCTTCATCGAGATAATGCCGAGCGGCGTTGGTAGTGCACAAGAGCAATCGCCTGCCGCCGGTAATTAGAATTTCTTACCAGACCAGAGTTACTAAATTTCTTGGTTCCTGTTGAAAATCAAGCGCATTGACAGTTGGCGTCCAGTGTTTTTTGTGTGTTTGATGCTCCAGAGAAGCGCAATTGTGATGAAGGAGAAATGGCATTTTTACAAAGAAGGAGAGGCGAACTTTTTTTAGAAGCATTCGTTTAGCCGTCGGAAAATGTTGAGCGTGCCATTTTTCTTGGAAAGCTACATAAGTGCGGTGCAGTGTGAGAAATAAGCGTAATTGTGATAGCGTTTATAATGTAAGGCAACAAGTTTGATTAGGTTAAACTTAAAAATAAGAATTGAAATCAGTTTGTATTTTATGCAAATAATATGCAATTAGGTTATTTTAAATGCAGAAGTAAAAGTGGAAATTCAGTAGAAACTATTTTTATTAATATTTCTTTTTGCAATATTTTCAATTATAAGAAAAAACTCATAATTTAATAACTCGATATTGGAAGCTTTCATTATACTCAATGTATTCAGCCGTCGCTATTCAACATTTTATAAATAAGCGTATAATTAAATTGTAATAAATAACCATTTTTAAAAAATTTGTTTTATTATTTTTCAAAGTTTTCATTGGAATTGGATTTTTCTATTATTTTTAGTGCCTTGTTTTTCAGCATTTATAATTATTTATATTAAATTTAATTTCCAGGTTTAAGCAAATAATTCAGGCTTCATTTGAGACTATAGAATATCTTGGTCGAAATTGGTTTGAATTCTCAGTTTGCTGGTCAAAAAATACCTATTCCGAAATCTTAGAAGGTATATAATTTTGCCTATATTCAATACACCTCAGTTTTCGTTTAAAAAATGTACTGAAGGAAGTTGACTAATATCTTGTATTTTTATTTCTACAAAAAATATTGTACTTTATGAGAAGGTAATATATTTCGTTAGGAACGAAGGCATCTGAACTAAAAAATAAATTTTTGGCTTCATTCTACAGTCTTACATAAACCAATTTAAAAAAGGTCTCAAATTTGAAATTTTTTCCCATAACTAAAAAAATTATGAAATTCTTTCAAAATCTATTACAAAGTTAGTGGACTCAGATATTGATTTTTTTTATTAAATTATGTACATATGTATTTAAAATTTAATATTTTAACCCATTTGAAAATAAAACTATTCGCGTTTTCACAAGGTATCGTAAGCGTCGAACTGTCGCATGTCGTAAACTTTCTAAAGGCTAAATAAATGTTTAATGGACTTGAAACCATAACCAACTATTTCTTAACGGTGCTAAATTTCATAATGCGCCTTTTACGGTAGCTGCCGAATTCCTTAAATATAGTTTTAGCCGCTTAAAGTTTATAATATACAAAAATACGACAGTATACAACAACTTGTGAAGTCCCTACATGTATTTAAAACAGTTTTTAAAAGTGAAATTTTTTTCATAAATTCAAAAATTATAAAATTTTTTCAAAATATAAACTTAACTAAAACGTGTCGTAAGATCTCAAAATATTACTCTATTTTTTTTAATTTGAAACTTTTATAAATAAAAAAATTTTTAAATTCTTTCAAAATATATTGTTAAGGTAGATGATTCAGTTATTAATTTTTTTACATTCAAGACGACTAAAACTAGTCGTAAGATCTCCAAATTATTATAATTTTTTTTTACCTTGTCTACTAAAATTTTTTTTTTTTAACCCATTCGAAAATAAATGTTTTTTATTAATTTTTTTTCTAATTTCGAACGAGGAAAAAGTAATTTGTCTTTATTCACAAACATTTTAAAAGCATTTAAAGTCTTCTTTATTTTTTATGTATTGATGATTTTTTATAAAAAATTTAAAAAATAAACCTAAATCTAAAATTTAATTTTGCTTCAAAAAATTTCTTTTAATTCCCAAACCAAAAATGTGAGAATGTATGGTTTTTTGTTATTTTCCAAAGTTTGCAGATTTAATTAAAAAATTCTAAGCGTTTGTTGCCATTGTTTTTTTTTAAGTTGAAATCTGTTTTAGGATTTAAATTTTTTGTTTGTTAATTTACCAGTTTAGCAAATTATATTTTTAAAAACCTTCAAGTTTGAAGGAAGTGTCACACGATAGTGCATTTAACCAAGGTGAAAGTCGAATCCCAATCGTATACATGAACAAATATTTTTCTTTATCCCAATCACGAAAAAGAATTTGTTCAAATTTTCCAATAGGAGTTCGCTGTATTGTACCAATCATGTGACTATAAAAAAATTGTCGTCCCAATTTTTTCATTTTGTAACAAAAGCCCAATATAAAAAATGTCAAATCTGAAACAGCCTTGAGGCTGATTTAAAGGCTTGGAAAATAACTCGAACAAATCTTGAGTTCTCTAAATTTAATTTTGGAATTTGTAAAACATAAAAAGCTTATTTATAGCTTTCGTTGTTTTTATTTTAAAAACGTTTGAATAAATATTTAAACTTTTTTCAATTTTCAAAAACTTTTGCAATTCCTAAATGTTTGGAATTGTAGGAATGTTTCTTGTTTTCTGCAGATCGCAGCTTCATTTAAAAAACATTTACTAAACTAACATATATAAATTTTAATTCTAAAATTTGAATTAAATAATTTTATTTGAAACCCACGGGCGCCTGAACTTAATTTAAATAAAAATTTGGGCCACTACAAATTGGTGGATATATTTGTTGCAAAAAATCTCTTTTATTATTTTGTAAAAAAATTTTGTTGGCGTATTTAAAAAATCTTCCAAAGATCGGGTTTCAGAAAACCCAAAAATATATTAAGTTGTTTCAAAAGTAAATAACAAATGTATAAAATGCGCCTCGAGTTTTTTAAAATAATAAAACTGATTTTTTTTTTTCAAAAAAACTATCCACAGATTTTTTTTTTAAATTTTTGTAGTAAAATAAAGCAGGCAAATCGTAAATTCAAAATACGGAAAGACATTTGTGGTAATCGAAGTTTTTATATAAATTCAGTTCAGGTGCACCATGTAATAAATTTTTTTTGCATATCATAGCTTTAAAAAATTTAGTTTTGAAAATATTCGTTTTTGTTTCTATAAAAATTTTACTTCATTTCAAGGTTAAGAAAAATTTGCAGTTTTTAGTCAAAAGCTTTTTTTTAATAAATTAAACTTGATTTTGAAGCTGCTTCGATTTTTTGTAATCGCCAAAATTATAATTTTTTTTTGAATGCCGATCTCTTCAAAACCACCTTTACATCTTAAGGCTTAATTTAGTTACATTTAATTGCCCTCTGTGAGAAAATCTTAATAAATATTAAGACTGCACCCTTAAAGTGGAAAATTTCGATAAAACATTTCAAAATATAAGCTGACTTATAAAATTTACTTGAGGGCTTCGAGTTTTCCACTGGTTTCAGCGATAGAAAAAATATATTTAGAAAAGTCATAAAAACGCCGTATTCGTTTGTTGGGATTTCGTAAACTGAAAAAACTGTTTTCCAATAAATATTTTTTGTTTACTTTTATCCAATAATGCGAAAATTTCAGCCTAAAATAGTTAAAATCAAGTCATTTTGAACAGGTAGCACTTGGAAAGTAATACATTTGATTTTTTTCTTTTGTAAATTTGTGGTCTCTAAATTGTAGATTTTTTCGCAATTTTTGACACAATTTTTAATAACTTACCCAGCACATCCATCAAGAAATAAGTTTTGTTCAAGAACAAAGAATTAATAATAATATTTTGGCATTTACACTTTTGCTATGTGTTTGGCCGAGCTTCTCCTCAAGTTTGTGATGTGCGTGTTGATGTTGTTACACAATTGGAGGGACCTACAGTCTTACACCGCCTACAGAGGAAATGGATTTTATGAGAAGCTTTTTCAAGGCAGAACTACATTCGGAGGTTTGCCATGGCCTGCCGAGAGACGATCGCTGTTAAGAAAACAGGTCTTTCGAACTCACGTCTTTCGGAGTGGTAGATTGAGCCTCTAACCACTTGGTTACAACGGCCGAATTCCTTTTTCATTTTTGTTAATATTTTAAAATTAGTAGAATGTTTTCTGAAATTTTAGAGGCCAGAAGTGCAAAAATAAAATACACTTAAACACAGTTTTTTCTTAAAGGCTACAACCAGTTCAATCCACTGTTGAGATAGATATTATTACGCCACAATAATAATAACATACAATCATCACAATAATAATAATAAATTGGCGCTTACACTTATTTATTTATGTTAGTGTTTGGCCGAGCTTCTCCTCCATACAGTCAACATACTTAGTTTAAAATTATGTAAATCATAAGCATTGTAAACGAATGATCGATATTTACAATATCTGCATATACAATATACATACATATATAAATAGATACATAAATAGGTCCTTACATATGTAGTTACATACTCAACTTTTACAACTTCTTGGTGTCTATTTCTATGACCTATTTTAAAATTAAATATACTCTGGTTATACTCTAGTAGAAGAAAAAATGTCATACAAACAATTTTTAAAACTAAAAGCGAAAGGCAATGAATGGAGTAAAGATGTTTTTACTAAATAAATATTTAAAATGCTTCTTATACAAAAAAAAAAAATACTATATTCGATATATTCGATATGGCATTTAACCTAACCATATACATTGGTACATATATGTACATAAATATCTACCAAAAGTTACAAAACGGAGTAAAAGTATATATTACTTCGGTATATTTTTGTATTTGCTTTGCAGAGTAGAAAAAAGTCTAAATGTATTTAGTTTTGGGGCGTTCCATATCAAAACGGACGGGGTTCACACTTCATGGGTTTGATTTGTTTAAAATTTTTGGGGTTGATGCATAATCATAAATAATAAATAAATATGAAATTTAAGCTTCATTAATACATTTTTTAAAACTTTACAGCACAAAAACAAAATTAAATCGATTTAATAGTTTTTCAAATATCTCAAAACGGGGCGAGGAAAAAATTAAAAAAAAATCACACATACACACATCAAAATTCTCTATGAAAAGAAATATTTTGAAACATTTTTCTTCTTGAAAAACTTTTTGCATACAAACTTTTTGAAAAAGATTTTGAAAATATGCCATCTAAAAAAAAAAAATTTAAAAAAGTCAATGGTAGCTCTGAGTATTGCACAGTATTTAAGTATAGTATTATGGGGAGCTATGCATTTTTTTTACCCCGAAGTTAAGTAAAATGAGTACATTACAAATTTACAAATTGTTGAATTTTTTTTTGAATTCTTTAGAGTATGCAGTTTTGTAGCCCATTAATGGCGTATTTTTTTTTTTTTTATTATCTTTGAAAACGGTTTTGCGCATTTTCTTCCATAAGAAAAAAGTGCCTAAAGCCTTCAGCATAAAAAATCAACCCAATTTTGCAGTAGCTTAAAACTTGCACTTTATTATACTAAAATTTAATGGGCTACAAAACTACATACTCAAAAAATTCTGAAAAAAATTTCAAAAGTTTTTAAATTTGAAATTTACTCAACTTCGGTGTAAAAAAAA